TATATATATATATATATATATATAAAGAGAAAGAGGTTAATAAAAATTAATTTAGTTTTGATAAAAAAGAATTAAGTAATAGTTCATAAAATTTAAAAGTCAATACTAAAAATATAATTAAGAATCATTAAATAAAGACTAGACATAGAGAAATAATCAACTATTATCAAATGCAACTAAAGCATAATTAAAATGATTAATGTTAAAAAGGACTCATATCTACAACTATATATAAGAGTAGTCATGATAATGAATTGAATTGGTTTAAAAATAGTTCAAAACTTGATTTGATAATTAATCGATTCAACTTTGTTCATGAATCAAATGAACTGAGTTTGAGTTAAAGATTGAACTTGATAGATAAATGAGTCAAATATGAGTTGTGTATAGTTCGTTTAGTTTGATTCATAAATTGGCTTGACATATAAATATATAATTAGTTATAAGTTAATAATAATAAAAGAAGTTAACACTTTAAAATTTCATGGTTATGGATTGGGTTTTCTAGTATTTTAAACAAGGCAAAGTAATTTTAATTTATACAAGCTTTAGTTATAATTATATTTCTTTAGAGTTGTACCTTGTAATATTGTAATACTAATAAAATAAATTATATATATTTTAAATTAAAAAATCATTTTATTTAAAATTTAATATTAAAATAAAATTTTGAAATGTATAAGATTAAAAAATTCGAGTCTTGGTTCATGTGATTTGAGCTATCGAGTTGAACTGAATTGATAATAAACTTGAACCAAACTAGTTTGAATTGAAAAAAAGGTTTGTGTCGAACTCGAGTTAAACTACAAGCTGAACCAATGTCATAAAATCGAGTTGAGCCGAGTTGAACCAAACTCATCTCAACTCATTTCCAACCCTAAAAAGTGATTCATTACTTTCATGTACACAATTTTTTGATTGTTTTACTCTCATAAGTTATAATCACTCCTAACCCACTCAATTACATTTTCTTCTTCAAATCTCTCTCACTTTTTAAATAACTATTTACTCTATTATTATTTTTTATTTTTTTTTAAAATATAGAGAAATATGAAATGTCTTTTCTATACTAGTAAAATTATAAAACAAATAAAATAATTATTAAAATTAGAGATTTATTTTGCTTAATAAAATAAAAGAAAATTTATATTTATAAATATTTTTTAATGAGATTAATTCTTGATTAAATTTTTAATGAACTTTCTTTTATGACTTTTAAAAAATATATTTTTAATATTTTATCAACTTTAGTTGTAATTACATGTATAAAAAATTCACATAAAAATTTTATAAACTATTTTAATTTGCGAAAAAAAAAAGTTCATTAGAGTTCTAGTTATAAATACTACTTTTTTAAGGTAACAAATTATACATCCTCTAATGGTATAAAAGCTTTTACATCAAATTAAAATTAATTTAATCTCTTAAATAATATTAACTAATATTTTAATCTGTATAATACACATATATATTTATCATATATAATTAAAATTTATAATAGGTCATATATATATATATAAATATTATGTTTAAATATAGAAATTTTATTTAAAATTAATATATA